TCGAATCAATTAGATGATCCATATCAATCTCAACAAACTTGGCCTTACATCAATAAAACATCCAAACATCAAGAAAGATATTTTGATAGTTCTTTTTTTTTACCGACATATATAGAAACTATTCCTACAACATACAGTAGACCTCTTGTACATCAATATGAAAGAGAGAGACAGTATCCTCCTTATCCAGTTTTTGGAAATGCGGACTTCGTAGATGTTGAAACTAGTCAAAACTTAGGATATGGTTATACTTCAAATTCAAATTATGGAGGTTGGTCAAATGCCGGTCTCGCAAATTTTAGTAACACTAACAGTCTATCACCAAAGATTAGAGTTATTTTTATACCACCATATGCATCATCTCTGGCACAGACATGTACAGGTCCATTGGTAAGAAATCATGTTCTTTCAAAAAATCACAAAATCATATCATACGATATAAAAATATTTGTTTATCATTTAGAATATACCACCATTTCTTTTCAATCATATAGCACAACCTTTGTGTTCATTACCATTACCACCACCTTTACCACAAATATCATCATTACCACTTACACCTGCTGTTCAACAAAGGGTCATACAACAATATTCTAATCCAGTTGCAACATTTCCTTTTACTCCAAACTGGCAAGCACCTCAATCAATTGCATCAGCTTATCCACCAATTTTACAACAACCATCAATAATGCCAATGCCATATTGTCAAGCACCTCCATCATTTGCATTTACTTGTCCACCACTTTTACCACAACCACCAGCGATGCCGATGCCATCTTGTCAAGCACCTCAATATGCTTCACAACCAAACAGTATACCAATGTTATCATCAAATACATCACCTTTATTACCATATTCTAATCCAGTATCATCCGTTCCTCAACTACCAAACAATAACTATTCCAATATATGTCGTGCATGTGTACCACCACCTCCACTAAATGTAACAGTTACAGATCATTCTAAGTTTCAAAAATGTTCTACTTGTCATCACATTCCTACTGATGGTTCGAATCCGAATGTTCAACTTAGTAATGATCGAAGTACACAACTACTTCATCATCCAATAATACAACAACACTATCCTCGTACCAACATACATATGACTGAATTTACATGGCCACATAAATTACCACTACTTCCACCTGGTGCTGTTATTATTTCTGATGAATATATTAAAAAGCGCGACAGATCATATCATAGCTATTTTTACTCAAAAAGGAAATATCCACAACATGGACAGGATACAATGAAAACTGCTGTTGAATCAGACAAATCAGCAATTATGAATAAAACTAATCATAGAAAACAATCAAACGATAAGGCATCTCAGAGTTTTAATAGCAGTGCCAGTAGCCACAACTTGCTGTTCAAATCCGCCAGTAGAAGATCATTGCCTTCTCTCTATAGTTGGACGCCACGCGGTTCACGTCAGCCAACAGAACATTACTGTCATGAATCATCAATATGTCATCCATGTACTTCGTCAAAATATTCTTCAGATAACGCATTAATGGGCAAGTCTAACAAATATCAAATAGATGTTACTGATTCATATAAAAGAAAACGAAATATTGATCATAATAAACTACTTAATGGAACACCCACTCGCAAAATTCGTATTATATACGAACCTTCTATCTCACATTGGATTGCTGAGGTGAATCATCAATTAAAATCAAATGATAATAATTCAAATTCGTTGTCGGTTTCTCCTGCAATATCAAACATTCATCCAATATTCTCAAACAAAAATAATCCAATTAAACAGACATCACCAGCTTATAAGATGTTCCCACTGCTAGAAGAACAAGAAGAAGAAGAGGAAGAAGAAAATAAGAAATCTATTCGTGCTTCTTCTTCAAGTTCATTGGAATCCAAACAGTCGACAAAGAACTCATCTACAAGAAGTACCTGTGATGTATCATACAGTAGTATTGTCAATAATAAAAAAATGGATCCAGTTTCTACAACAAGTACATCGACGGATAATAGTAACTTCAAACAAATAAGACTTTTATATTAAAAAAACATTGTCATAAAGTTTGTCATTAGACATACTTTCATATTACTTTATTATTCA